ACTCTATTTCGTTTAAGGTGATAAAGGACTGGTGGTAGAATTATCCCACACTACTATTAGTAGAGCTGACGTTTCCTTTCAATTTCACACAGCCTTGCTTTGCTAAAAGTTTTTCCCATCCTGGCTGGAGTGGACCTCAGTTTCGATCTCGCGTAGGCCTTATCAACACCCCCAGCGGGACAGTGCGGCATGTGAGCTTGACACGTTAACTACTCGGCCACTGTCACGAGTGCCATTGGGACACAGGGCAGGTTTGAATTTTAAGAAACGCCAGATTTTTTCCATATCACATTCTTTGGTGGGATTGTCATCTCGAGGCTTTACTTATATATGAAAAATAAGTAATGTAGTCGGTTGTTATAGCGAAAATACGTTTATTTCATCGACAATCGCACCAAAGAATATGATATGAGAAAGGGCCTGGCCTTCCTTGAAATTAGCATCTGCTCTGTGAGCTAAAGGTGCTCGTGGCAATGTGGCCAAGTGGTTAACGTGTCAGGCTCACAGGCTGCACTGTCACGGTTCGACTCCCGCTGGGGGTGTTGATAAGACCGAGGCGAGGTCGAAACTGCAGTCCACTTTAGCCGGGATGAAAACGACTTCTGGCAAAGCAAAGCTCTGTGAAATTCAATGGAAACCTCAGCTCTACTCATATCGTTGTGGGAAAATTATACTACCAGTCTTTCATCACATTAAACTGAATAGAGTGAATAGAATTTAATTTAACAGACACTTTCAGTCCCTAAATTATTATTTCGCTATATAGACGACTGCTATGCTGTTTGGCCGCATGGCAACGAAAACCGTGAGAATTTTCTTGGTTTGATGAAGTGAAAAGATGGGAAGACGAGATTCATCATCGAATTAAAAAAGGAAGCTGGTTTACCCTGTCTCGGTGCTGTCACGGTTCTACTCCCGCTGGGTTTGATGATAAGACCCATGCAAAGTCGAAACTGCAGTCCACTTTGGATGAGAACAACTTTTGGGAAAGCAAGGCTATGTAAAATTCAATGGAAACGTCAGCTCTACTCATATCATTGTACGAAAATTCTACTACCAGTCCTTCATCATCTTAAACGAAATCGGGTGAATACATCTCATACAACTCGAGTATGTTTGTAGTCTATCTGTACTCATGATTCTGCATCCAAACTGGAAATCTACGAAGATGGTAGGGGCCCATCGACTCTATGCTCCCAGGTAGACTACACTCCTATGTTAGATCGTAGATAGGAAAGAGAAGGTAGTCTGACCTTGGGTTTGGTTACAATTCCTTAAGCTGTACACTGCTGGTTCGACCCACTTTTCGATACTTGGCCGGAGGGACAGGGCGACCCCGTGAAGCGTGTTTAGTCCTGCCTTCGGGGCCCGAGTAGTCATGCATGAGTTCGCCGGCATCGTCAGTGAGAGACGCCGGCCTTAAAATGATTTACAATTTATCAAAGGGACAAATGGAGGCAATTAAACTGACCAATCTTTTGTAGAAGTGGGCTGACCTCGTTTTCGCAACTTGGTCTTGCTGTCAGGACGATTATGTAGAACGCACCTAGTCCAAAGTCGTCTGCCATATTGGTTGCCATGATTTCCAGCATCTGACATTGGACTTAATACATTCTTAAACGTAGTCGGCATCATCAGTGAGCTGTGCCATTCTCCGCACCAAGCCTCGAACTCGTCAAAGAGACTAGAGGGATATCATGGATTTGATCAAGGAAACGACCTGTGAAGGGACGGTATGATTTATGCAAGCATGGGAATCAGAGCTTCGGCGCTCTGCTCAGTGAAGCGACAGTGTACGTGCTTCTAGGGCCTTGAGAAATAGCGCCTGGAGTGAAACGCAGACTGGGACTGGAACCGAGTGAAATCGGTCAACCAGAAAGAGAAGGATCGGATCTACGAGACAATGAGGGGATCCGGATTGGAGGCCCGAGTCGGATCAGCTGATAGAAATAGCAAGTGTGATGAGATCCTATTAGATTTGCTACAAAAGGCACACATTTTGACGAGTGTAATGTAAACAAATGAGAAGTTGTGATAGGGCGTCAGTGGGATAAGAGGATAAAGAGTAGATAGATAGACCAGGACAGAAAGAGGAGTGATAGTGTAACCGTTTTCGGCAGAACGTCTGTCAAAGGATTGACTTCACTTGTCTCTTTGACGAGTTCGTAGATTGGTGCTGAGAATGGCAAAAGTCACTGATGATGCCGGCGAAACGTTTAAGAATGTATCAAATCCACTGTCAGATGATGGAAATCATGGCAACTACTATGGCAGACGACTTCGGACTAGGTGCGTTCTACTAAGTCGCCCTGACAACAAGA